CTCCGGGAAAGTGGGCTCCGGGGAAGTGGGCTCCGGGGAAGTGGGCTGTGGGACCTTGGAGGAGTCTTGAAGGAGCCAAATATGAGTTTGCTGCATTTTGAGATGGTCAGCTTAAACTTGGAAAGCTAGTGTTGGGGTTTGGGGATCCCAAGGCATCTGAGGGTGTGCATTGCACTGAGAGGATCATGCTGTGTTGGAAATGCCAGAAACTACCTGGGCCATGCCCCAGGGCCAGTGGCTAGGGATTGGGTGCTGTATCTGTCATTTGCTTGGACTCATCTTGACTAAGCATCATCTGATCGGCAGTTACCTGCAACTTCTGTTCCGGTTTCTTCTCTCTGCTCACCTCTCCCAGGGGTTCTGGCGAGCTCCCTCTTCCCGTCTGTGCCAGGGCTCATTCCTTCTGCCTGTGCCTCTTCCAGGGATGTGGCCTGCTGGACAGTGGTGTCCTGGAGATCCTGGAGCGGCGCCTGCGTGTGGGTGTGCACAACGGTCTGGGCTTCGTGCAGAGGCCACAGGTGGTTGTGCTGGTACCTGAGATGGACGTGGCCTTGACGCGCTCAGCCAGCTTCAGCAGGAAAGTGGTCTCCTCTTCCAAGACCAGGTATTGCCTCCCAAGTCCCCAGGGCTGGGTGGGGGCATACAAGGGATCAGGATGAAATGAGGTCGTTTGGGCATGTCAAGTGTGGACTCACCCACGTACGAGTTCTTCCTTGTTCTCTTTCTGTCATCTTGCCAAGTTGTACCCATTAGGAACAAACCTTGGAATTGGAAGTTTGGAAAAAGCCTCCCCACACTTTGTTTTCCATTTGTGCTCTGACAGTTTTGGAGTTAGCATTATGGAGGCTTCCAGCTGTGGCTGCTGAGGGTCTGTGGAGGCCTTGCATGCTGCCTTCTAGACATGCTCTATGATTAGTTTCGCATAGGACAGAGAACAAGGGGGCAGCAAGACCTGCTGCTCTGTTTAATCTGGTGCTTCCCAAATCAGGTGTCACAGACATCACTGCAGGGCGACATGCCTTTCCTCTCTTATGGTGCCAGGCAGAGGCCAGCTGTCCTCTGCCGTGGGCCAGCCTTGAAGAAGGAGCCTCCATCTTCTGTGGCATTTCCTGGTAACTTGGCTGTATTAGGCCTGCAGGCAAGCTTTGGTGATTTGGAAAAGACTTGAGCAATGAGAGGCCGAGGAGGGAGGATTACTTGAGCTCAGGAGTTTGAGACCAGCCAGCCATGGCAGCATAGTGAGAGCCCCATCTCTTAAAAAAAAAAAAAAAAAAAGAAAAGAGCATTGGTTTGGGGAATTTCCACACCACTTGGAAGAGCACGAGGTGTTGCATGGTGGTTGTGTCCCCGACGGTGTCCTCTTGGCCCTTGGTGGCAGTATCAACGTGGACGTGGGAAAGATGGGAGCTGGAGCTCTAATGGGCCCCCGGTTTGTGTTTCTGACCCAGCTCTGGAAGCCAAGCTCTGGTTTTGAGAAGCCGCCTCCGCCTCCCGGAGATGGTCAGCCACCCCGCGTTTGCGGTCGTCTTCCAGCTGGAGTACGTGTTCAGCAGCCCTGCAGGAGTGGACGGCAATGTAAGAGCAGCCCTTTTGTGCTCCGTTTCCTCTGGCGATGAGCTCTGTGAGCTAAGGATAGATGTAGGTGCTCTTTCCATTAAAAACAGGCGTGATTATTATAAATACTAAGTACAAATCACTTCACTGACATTTACCAGCCTGTTGTAAGGAATGTTACAATGGATACAGACGAAATGGAAAGGGCAAAGAATGTGGGAAGGGGTTGGAGCTCCTGTGCCCTCCTGGGCACCGCCCTTTGGGCGCCTCTGTGGGTTCGGCTGTCCAGAAGCTCTCTGAAGCCAGTCCTTTTGGGTTTTTATGGAAACTTCATTATGTAGACGTGATTGATTAAACATTGACCATTGATGATAAACGTGACCTTCAGTCCCTCTTCTCCCCCTGCCTTATTCTTTCTGTGAGCAGCCCTATCCTGAAGCCACCTGGGGGCTACCCACCACGGCCATCTCATTAGCACACAAAAGATAGCACTTTGGAAATTCCAAGGATTTCAGGAGTTGTATACCAGGAAACTGGATGAAGACCAAATATATATTTCACAAATCATATACATTCTGCTGGCTGGGAGTAATTAATATGTCAGTAAGTTTCATATATCATAATAGCATTAATTCCTGATTATCGAATTGGTAATTATTTTGAAAAATGAGGCCATTTTAATGTATTTCTACTTAAGCGTGGTAAAGCTTGAATTTGCACAAGTTAGAGATGGTTTCTCATAGGGAACTTTATATATACCTATATAATACTAAGAGTAAGATTTTATAGGTTCAGTTGAAAGAAATAAAATATGTGGACATCATTTACGTCATTAATGTAGATTCTTTGAAAAACCCAAATCCTGCTACTCTTAAGATTTAGTTTTCTGTTTGAAAAAGCCAATCCTGTATTCTGCCTTATCCAGGGGCGTGTGTTCCAAGACCCCAGTGGGTGCCTGAAATCTCTATAGTACTGAACCCTACGCAGTACATACTAGGTATTTTCTTGCATATACATACCTGTGATACAGTTCATAAATTAGGTACAGTAAGAGATCAGACAACAATAACGTAATAAAATAGAACAGTTATCATAATATACAGTAACGAAATTGAATGTATCTGTCTCTTTCTCTACCTCTCAACTGCAATGAGTGGGTAGTGCCTACTGTGCAGATACGTGGGATGGAGGTGTGACTCACGTTCTGGGTGGGACAGTGCCAGATCTTATCACACTGCTCAGAGTGGTGCACAGTTTAGGACTTACAGGTTGCTTTCTTCTGGAGTTTTCTATTTAATATTTTCAGACCAAGGTTGACTGAGGGTCACTGAAACTGCAGATTGGGGCACTTCTGAATCATTTTAACAAGTAAGTTAGAAGCCAAAAAATGGCTGACAGGACCTCTTCCATGGCGATCTGCCCTGATCTGGCCTGCCATCGTCACTGGGCAGCTCTGTCAGGAACAGCCTGAGAAGGAGCATGAGATGCTGAGGACGGTCTTGGGCTGTGCCTCAGGCCAGAGAGCAGGGTGTTGGGGTGTCGCTGCCATCTGATATCTCTGATCTCTTGGGCAGCGGCGAGCTGACTGGCCATTGTCCACACCTCTAGTACCTGCAATTCCGAGTCCTAATTAGGTACAGACATCCAGAGGTGCCAAGTGTTCTGTGGCCTGATGCAGTCACAGTCATTTAATGAAACTGCTGTTCCAGTTCTGCTTTCTTTACCTACGAACAGAACTTTCAGCTAAAATGCCGCGCTGTGTGTGCATACCCTTGGGTGGGAGGGGCTCTCTAGGGTGGGTGTGGCTCATGGAGAGGGATGGGGCTGCCAGGGCTGGGGAGTGAGCCGAGGAAAAAGGGCCTCAGGGTGCCCTGGCAGCACCCGATGCTTGATGTGTGGTGCCCAGGGGCTGTGGGGGGAGGTGGGGAGGAGGAGGCGGCCTGGCGTCTCACTCACAGTGTCTTCTAGAGAGTGTTGATTGTAATTTACTTGTGATTATGGCGTTTGTATGCCGAAACCAAGATGTCTTAAGTGACACTTTATTTCTTTTTAACCCTCATCTGAAACTCCTGACAGCAGGTGGTTTCGATGGTGGCCACTTCATGGGCGTCTGGAGCGCGGGTGCTGGTGAGGCTGTGGAACCACTCATTGTCTCTTTTTTTTTTTTTTTTTTTTTTGAGTCCTTCTTGCTCTGTCATCCCTCAGTGGTGTGATCTTGGCTCACTGCAATGTCTGCCTCCCGAGTTCAATCTGTTCTCGTGCCTCAGTCGCCTGAGTAGCTGGGATTACAGGCACACACCACCACGCCCGGCTAATTTTGTGTTTTTAGTAGAGATGGGGTTTCCCCATGTTGGTCAGGCAGGTCTCAAACTTCTGCCGTCAAATGATCTGCCCTCCTCAGCCTCCCCAAGTGCTGGGCTTACAGGCATGAGCTGCCATGCCTGGCTGTCATCGGTGCTTTCTGATGTTGGTCGATTGTAACTCGGAATATTGGACTCCACTTTACTGTCATCATTGCACTTTGCTGGGTGGAATCTGGAATGGAAACGTTGCAGTGCATGAAATGGCCTTCCACACTTGCTCGCTCTGCGGAACCACTGGAAGCGGGTTCATCATCCAGCGGGTGAAACTGGAATTGAGCGGGACATAGGAGGAGAAAAGCACAATGGCGGGGCCGTCTGCATGGCGGTGGCGGTGGGAGAGGAGCCCAGGGCGGGCCAGGCGGGGCCCTCCCACCTCAGCCACCCTGTCCTCGGCAGCGTCTCCCAGAGCACCCTGCTTCTGCTGGGCGGGGATTTTTCAGTGTGGTCATGCCTTCCGCTGTGGCGTCTTCCTGCTTGTCTTTGGTGAGGACCCCGCGTCTTGGAAGCTGCATGCGCAGCTGAGAGCAGGCAGGCTGGTGCGATGAGCCCCGTGGAGCTTCCCCGGCTGCCAGCTCCCTGGACGATCTGCTTCTGTACCCTCTCCCACAGGCTGTTTTGAATTATTCTGAAACAAATTCCAGGCATAATTGTATTTCATCTGTAAACATTTTGGCATGTACATTTCTTTTTGTAAAAAAACTTTATTATGGAAAATTTCAAAGCTAAAGGTGGAGACGCATGTGGTGCGGTCCCCGCACCCATCCCCAGCCCCCTGTTTACCGCTCGTGTCTCATCTCTTTCTCCCGTCCCATTCCACCTGGGTTATTGAAGGTAACCTAGATGTAATAATCCTAGACATTGTGTCCTTTCATCTACAAATGGCTCGCCACGCTCTCAAAAAGACAGAGCTTCGGAGTGTCACTGACCATCATCATCACACCTAACCCTGAATACATTCTCAGTGTCATCACACATCCGGTCGGCCCGGGTGTAAATGTTTTAAGTATTTTACTTAATCAGAAACGGACAAAGCCTGGCAGTGTACTTTCCTCTGAAAAATGATGTGGGACAGATGTCTTCCTGTGTAAGCTGGGCAACCTGTCTGTTCCCTGGCAGTGGCTTCCTCATGTCGCCCCTGACTCAAGGATCTGTTCTCCCTATGGCCTTGCTGCATTCCTCACACATTCCTGTTGCCGGGAGAGCCAGAGCGCACCAGGCTGTTGGCAGTTGCTTCACGTGACCTCGTGCATCAGATCAGAAGGTAAAAGCCACGGGGTCCTGGGGCCCTTTCTGGAAGGATTCACCTGTAAATGGTATGCACAGATGAGAAGGAGGCCACCTGGGCTGATGAGAACGTGGGACAAATGCCGTGTTCAGGTCACAAGCAGGCACCAGAGTCTGTGTGCATTCTTTTGGCCCTTACTATTTGGTAGTCATTGGAAACCAACTAGGAACAAAAATTTTGTGAAGACACACTCATTGATTTTAATCTACTGTTACATTTTTGCATTTTTTTATTCAAAGCATCTAAAACCTTTTCACTGTAATTTATGTTTGGGTTTGCTGTGAAGAAGCTAAAGAAACTACCAAAGAAGTGGTCCCTCCTGTCCAGACCACTTTCTTCCCAGGATCCTGGGGCAGCGTGACGTCATTTGACTGCCACAGTGCTGCGTCTTCTCAAATGCTGTGTGCATGCCAGTGTGGGCTCTGGAAACGTTTGCTGACTGAATGAGTGATGGAGCAAACTCCCTCTAACGTGAGCATGAAATACAGCAGGTCCAGACCTGCAAAAAGCACCAGCCTAGAGTCTTGGCTGCGTTTTGTGTCTGAAGAAGCGGGCATCCTCTTGGGGCCTCGGGTGAATACAGTCCTTTCCTGCGGGTCACATGACAATAATCCTCTTCCCAAATCTCTAAGGGCTGAAGATCTGACTGATTTATTGTTTTTTTTTTTTTTTTTTTTTTTTTTTTTTTTGAGACAGAGTTTTGCTCTTGTTACCCAGGCTGGAGTGCAATGGCGCGATCTCGGCTCACCGCAATCTCTGCCTCCTGGGTTCAGGCAATTCTCCTGCCCCAGCCTCCTGAGTCGCTGGGATTACAGGCACACGCCACCATGCCCAGCTAATTTTTTGTAGTTTTAGTAGAGACGGGGTTTCACCATGTTGACCAGGATGGTCTCGATCTCTTGACCTCGTGATCCACCTGCCTCGGCCTCCCACAGTGCTGGGATTACAGGCTTGAGCCACCGCGCCCGGCCTGATTTATTGTTTATGTATTAACTCATATCCTTTGAAATAAATGTGTTTAACAAAAATTGGAGTGCTGCTCGAGGTGCCCAGGACCCCACAGTGGCTTTTGAATTTTCTGTACTTAGAGCATGGTTCATTCTGAAAATTATATCCATTTAAATTTACTAAAACTTGGAAATGTAGATATCTTGAGGGTTTTCTTGAGACCTTTCAAAATAATACTGACTCTATCCCCTGGAGCAGAGCGTGTGTCCCAGCAGAGTCCCCACGCTCGATGCCATGCAGAACGTGGCCATGTCTGTGTCCACTGCAGCCTGAGGCTTTCCTGTCAAAGGTGCCCCAGAGCCGGCCACGCTGAGCTGTCTGTGTAGGTGACCATGAACAGTATACACTTGAGGTTGCTAAAGAGA